GGAAGGAAGGAAGGAAGGAAGGAAGGAAGGAAGGAAGGAAGGAAGGAAGGAAGGAAGGAAGGAAGGAAGGAAGGAAGGAAGGAAGGAAGGAAGGATCTAGTACTTATGGATCTGCTAATATGATCCAGGCAGTCTGGGAGGAGTCAGAAAAAAAATTTGCAAGGAACTAAAGAGTGAAAATGGGAAATAGAATAAATTGCAGTGTGGAATTACCAAAGACAGATCATACTGCACAAAATGTTATGTCTCTTTTTGAAATAATAATTTTCTAGACATAATAGACAGTAGATCTCAACAAAGCACTTTCTATAGTAGCACATGTGAAACTATGAGCTAAGAGAATTAGGAGAAAATATGAGCTGATTTTTAACCATGACACAGGGATGTGATGAGCTGGGCTGGAAGGGGATGTATCAGGCTTCAGGGAGGTAATTAGTGCAGTTCTTCAAGGTCCTGCCAAAGAACAACTCACATAACATTTATTAGCAAACATAACAGAAATGTACCCTTGTGCTAATGTGATCCTCAGAAGACATGAGGGGCACAGCTGAGTCAGCAGTCTCTTCCAAGCTGCATTGGGCTCCTGTCCACCACGTACCCAATGGTTCACATCACAGAGCCGCCTCATGGCACACACGGGATTCCTTCCAGAAGAAAGGAAACAAAACCTGGGAGATGGGTTCCAGGGTGATGTGTAGAGGATTTGTTCCAAAATGTTAAAAAAGAARAAGTAACAAAAATATCTATGTATCTATAATATTTACAACAGATACCTGCTTAATCCTGGTACCGTTTTTTTCAAAAACAATTGCCTGTTGCAATGAAATCAAGTGCTGATAGAAGTTTCAAACTGATAAGAGAACTACGTTTCTTGGCAATTCAGGATTAAGCTGCAGTTCTTTGCAAAAACAATATTAGAAAAATGAAGGGCTTAGTAGGATTCAGAAATGGATTAGATGTTCTTACGAATGCTATTATAAATAATTACACTAGCCGGAATAAAAACTGACAACAGTGTCTTCCTTATGGAAAACTTACAGTGATTCTCCTTCTACAGTGATTCTGCCATTATCTGTCAAAATAAGAACCAAGACAAAATATTATATTGCCTTTGATATAACACAGTGGATTTTTATATTTCAATTTCAACTATTCTAAAATAAAAATCAAAATAACTGCCAGATTTCCATTGTTTACCAGATTTAAGATTGCAATTTTGTGAGTTGTCACTATTAAAATTTGAGCTGCACCGAATGCATAAATTGCTGCACTGAGGATAATTTGAAATACTGAGTCCTGAACTGCAACAACTCAACACTGCCATATATAGAACATTGATAAAAGAGTTAATAAATGGAATTAGAAGTTAAGCATGTGATAGGTACAATAACTGGAAATAATTTGATTCTGAGTTTAATTTAAATGTCTTAAATAAAGAGCACGATCTTGCCCTTGAACAGCTAAATTATACGAATTGCAACACTCCTGCTATATAAGTGACCATTTATACGGTTCAGCCTAATATCCCATTTAGTAGGTAAATTTACAGAAAAGGTAGTGCTGCGAAAATGAAGGCAGAGATTTCTGGAAAGTGTCAGAGAAAAACTTGTGGAAAGAAGTAACTTCACTGTGAAGTGTAAGATTAAAGCAGWCCAGAAACTCTACAAGCCAGGCACCTAGAAGGCCATCCAGAGAGAAAACTTTTGCTGGATGTTAAAACTATTTCCCAAAATTCACCCAGAAGAAACTAAGGACTAGTAATGCCATATTTTGAGGATGTAAGAAAAATCAGTTCTTAGAGAAAACAGAACCTTTGTTCTAATGTGATTTCTGCCTTCAATATGCTAAAGAGGTGAGATTAATGTTTAGACCTTTGGAAGATCTTTGTAGATCTTGTCTACAAGCTTTTCACACTCGAGTTTGAGTAGGAAATGTCCAAGGAAAATGCAGGGACACGACACTAGGTCTACATTTCCAGAGTGATCCCTAATATTATGGTTGGGGAGAAATTGTTTTCACGTTTAAATTTTATAATGTTACTTAAAATAGTTCTTAAATTGAATTTTAATTTTAAAATGAATTTTAAATTGAATTGATGAGCTTATCTTTTCCAGGAGATACAGGGAATGCCATTATCTGAATGAAATGCTCCATTTTTGATAATTTGGCAAGGTTTTCATAGTCGTATGAAAACCATAGAATTTCACTGTATTGGGCTATTCTTATTTTGCTCTGAGTCAGCTTTACCTTCGTCTCCCAAGTGAACAGTATTTGTTTTCCTAAAATGAGTACATTTTTCAATAYCACATATCTATGTTAAAATTAAAAACTCATGCTCTGCTGCACTTACAAAAGAACTATGTCTCTCAGATATGATAGTACTCAAAAAATAGCCTTTTAAGCTAAGATTTAATTTAGTTATTCAGCAAAGAAAAACTTACAWCATTCATTTCTCATTCCATTTTTCTTTTCCATTTTTGTAAGCATACTTACCGCCAAAACAGAAACAGGGTGGCAGGTTTCTGTGTATCAAGATCATTTCTGAATACATTTCATATTACATGCTAAAAAAATGATATTAGACATATGGTTATATCAACCTTATCAAAGTCACTGAAATCCATTAGTCATAACCAAATACCTCACTGTAAGCTATTGTGTTAAACACAATGTTAAACGTAAAAACATGATGTTATGATACCTAATTATGCTTTGATATGGAGGATTTCAGATTATAAGGAAAAACATGTCTTCCAAAAGATATATAGATATCCATTTTATTTTATTTCAAAAAATAGCAAATGTCTTAAGAACACAAACCAGAAAGTTAGTAAAAGCTTCATAGCAAAATATTTAGCCAACTCTGTTACAATATACAGGCTTGAGAGTCTAGCAAGAAACACTGCCCCAGCTCACTGAGGAGGTAACGCTCTTGACACACAAACATCACATAGTTGAAATGTGGAACTGAATATATTTAAAAAAAAAAAAAAAAAAACAGGGAGGGCATCTTTGCTCTTTCATGATCAACTGAAGTAAGAGTAATATTTTAACATGTTTGATTCTTTTTGGGAAAAGCTATTAAAATAATACCTGAGTATTGAGGTTAACTGACTATATCAAAGACAACAAATTAAGACCAATATCCTGGTATGGGAGCCATGCTCCCAGAAGTGATATTCTCCAGCACGGCTGTCATGGCAGCATCATGGCCTAAATGCCTTAATGAGATACAGGAAAAGTTTCTGATTTTCTTCAGGAACACCCTACAACTGCCAACTGCAAAGCTTGCTTTGCTGAGAAAAACATTCTGTTAAATGTCACTTCCTTGTATGAAGTCTTGTAATGTAAATTACCATAGCAAAGCCTGGTAAACCATCATGTTAATAAAGATGTGAAATATATAAGTCAAAATTTAGTCAAGGGGCTTTTATACTGTGTTAGCATAAATATTGAATCGTATGCTTTGTTTCATTATTTCAAACACAAGAGATCTAATTATGTAACTGCTGGCTATTGTAACGAGAGGCAGTATATTCATTTGCCATTATTAACTTCAGATTCGTGTCATAATATCGTTTTACTATTCACCAGCTTTCTAAAATCAGGATGACACTCATCAGATTTTAATTCAATCCATATTTCTGGATTTTAAAATTGCTGCCAATCAAAATGCTTTCGATGATAACTAATCACAGTAGAGTTTTCAGATTTCTTATCCATGACTATTTTATATATGATTTCCTGGAATTACAATATTAAATTATAATGAATATAGAAAGGTTATCATACAAAGCATACTTAATAATTCACAACACTTGTATTCAACTTGACCAATTACAATGAAGTCACAAAAACGGTTTTAATTATGCCTACCCTTTTCTAGCCACCCACTCAATATGTAAACAATTTCTCACGATGATGACGGCAAGTTGGTAGTTACCAAGATGTCTCATAGGTAAAAGACAACAGCTAGGATATGGGCCTGAATTTGACAATTCCTCCACGCGCTCCTGCTCATTTTCCATTCTAGACTGCAAGCACTAAATTCAGAATCTTGCAATCATTGAATAAACAGAAGTTACAGGTAAACAGAGCTTTTATTCTAATGCAGGCTTCTGGAATTAAGTTGATAAAAAGTAACATGCCTATACAGAACAAAAAGAATRGTGACTTGGAACCAGAATGGAATCAGTGGTACCAGAATCCTCTGAGCAATGATAACGTACAGTATTGCCACTGTAAGACAAAAATCTCTTGGCATTGTGAAGATGAAGATCTCTGTTCACACAAGCCAATTTTAATGTGCTGTCAAGCAATTAGTTAAAATCACTGAAAAGGAAATACTTGTCAAAATGTTTATTTTTAAAAAATACAGTATGACATTTTGTAAATTGTAATTTAAATACTAAAACCGTGTTTCAGAAGTTCCCCGCTTTAGGTTGTTACTCAAAAACTCATCATGTTCAAAACTCAAATTATTATGAGATCTTGATATCATAAGAAGCTTTTCCTTATTAGTAAAGTCTTTTTTTACTGCTGCTTGTGGCACAAGTAACCTGTCCATTGGGTCCTCCTTGTTTTCTAGTTTCATATATCCTTTACTGTTACTTCGATCCAGTCTGGGCCAGCTGGGATGTTTCCTTTGTTCGGCTTGGACAGTGAGTGTGGATGGACCTCTGTCCAGGTCCAGGGACTTCGAATGTGAAGACATAAGATGCAAAGATGTGTTGGACCCAAACTGTTTTCTGGCAGCCCCAGGGGACAAAAGCTTTCCTGTGCTTGGTCCAAGAGTCATAGAGGATTTGAACTGATCAGACGGAGTGTCAACAAATGAATTGTGCCGTGGTAGCAAGGTAGTCACCGGTCTGTAGGATTCATGGGTATCAGCTACGGGAATGGCTAGAGAATCCATTGACAGATTTCTAGACCGACTCCTGGTGATCTCCAAGTCCTCAGTTATGTTGTCTATGCTGGGTTCATCGATAACACAGTTATTCAGCTTAATTACTGGCAGTGTGAAAGCACTAATAGAAGATGATACGATAGATTTTGTTTCGCACTTTATAGAGGTAGTGCTTTTGTCATCTGAACTCTTGCTGGAGTGAGGGCAAAGTCCAAAGACCGAACCAGATTGCTCAGTCACCAGCGGTGGCAGAAGGCTAGCAGTGGTCCTATCTTCATTCAGGGCAACCTCCTCTTCATCAGCAGAACTATCCACTCTGCAGTTCCCCCTGAAGCCAGAGAAAGGCGCGACTGTGTTTGCAGCCAGCCGCGAGGCACACGGGCTCCCGCTGGGCCTGAGCTCCCCTTCCCCGGAGAAGCCACTGAAGGCGCCACTCAGCTGCCTTTGCTCCTTGACCCTCAGCGTGTGGATGTCTATTACYGTGGAGTAAATGTCTCTCATGTGTATGATTTTTGTTTCCTTGTCCCGGTTTTCGTGGAGAATGGCATTGGCACAAATGAAAATGAAGATTCCAATGCCCATAGTGAAAGGACCCAACATTTTCATCTTATCTGAGTGCACATGCTGTTCAAAGAAACGAAGTAAAATGCTTCCTTGGCTTCTTAGGGCCTGAGTTTCATTTATTGGTAGATTATCTTCAGATCCTAAAAGCTGCTCCTTTTGGGGCCAGTATCCAAGGATGGCCATTGCAATTCCCAAGAACGCAATAAGCACTCCCAAAACCAGGAAGAACCCTGATGGGGAATAAAGCCGGATTTTGCCTCTGACAATTACTACATCTGCTCTGGGCCGGCGCCTGACTGGCTTCTTCTCCTCAGAAGCTGGCGACGTGGCAAGATTTACATGTTGCTGAGATCTGGCAGAGTCTTGCCTTTTTAAGGCAGCCAGTCCTGTTATGACTCCTCCAGTTGCTATCATAGCTCTGTACTSTGCCCTGAAAAGAAAAAGAAAAGCAGAAATGCTTCTGAAAGCCTGTGTATGGTCATATGAATAAGACTTTGTTAATCTGTAGGTATTTCTTGATAAGTAAAATATTCACGAGTTTTAAAAAGCTACTACATTTTAACTGTTCACATATTGGCAGCTTTTATATAGCTTTTGAAAAAAAATGACCAGGAGTCTATGGCATTGTAAATATAAGCAATAAATTTTCCATAAATAATACACATATGAGCAGAAAGGCAWCAATCTTAGTGGCAGTATGTCAGGATGCAAATACTCAAAATCTGTTCTATCTAGCTTACCTCTAAACGCATCTGCAAGAAAGTCAACAACATGTTACTGTCTCATACAAGCTTTAGGTTATTAAAACATTTTAACTAGTAGCTAGTTAAACTACAAGGAAAAAAGATTTTTTTCCTTGTAGATTTCAGCATACATTAATGCATATTTATTCCATCATTTAAAATGGCTTTTATTAAGCCTACTCAGTTTAACTGAGTCCCAACTACTTGCCTTTTCTAATAAAACTGATCCTTTCTTTACACAAATCTAGATCCTTCTCCCTCACTTGCTTTCTCACAGACTATAAAACAAGACAAAGCCCGTGTTGGGTGAATAAAGTGAGAGGCAGAAAAGCAGAGGCAAACTGGTGACTGCCTGCAAATTACAGGCAGCAATTTACATTAGTTATCTTGAAATATTTGTCTTGAAAAATTTCTAACAGTGCACATATGCAAAAAAGGATGAGCTATCTTATGGTCTGAGAAACAAACTGGCAGCCTGTGCATTTAGGCACTATCATAAATTCCCACTGATGCAAGRACCACGTGACATATCTAAGAGCAGAACAGGTCAAAGCTGCCAGTTGTGAACTTCACTATGAAATTAATAGAGAGACTGAGACGTGGCCAAGCTGAAGTATCAATCCAGAAAAAAAAAATGTGTCCACTGTTCATTACTATCTGTTAAGCAGCAATTCAWATAATAGGCAGAAAGACAGGCAACCCGAATTCCCTCCTTGCATCATTCTAATTAAAGGGCAATAAGTTTCCCCTTTCTCCGTGAGAAACCTTTTTGAGAAACAGGAAAGACCTGAGTAAAGACCTCAGATATTGATGTTGGCATTATTTTCTGAATTTCTGAAAGGAAAATTCATCTGATTATTCCAAAACATTTAAAATTTCAGGTGTAGTTTTGGGTTCTCTGTTCCTAACCCCCTTGGTATTTCTCAGGTTTTGTAATCAATTTTCCTTTTCCTGCTGTCTGGGGAATTTCAATAGCCCAAGACAACTTTTTTTTTTAAAAAAAAAAAAGCAAAGCTTAAAAATGTGCCAATGTGACTTTGCTATTTTTCAAAAATGAAAACAAAACTTTCTTCCATCTGTGTGCTTAAGGGCTTCTGCAAAACAAACAATCATTCTTCTGTAAAACAATGTTTTGAATCCACAGGCAGAAATAAATAGGACTCACCCATTACAGAATCTGTTCTATCTTTTTATGATTCAATTAAGAGTAATTAATCTTCTCTATGAAATAAATTAATAGAATTATAGCATCAGTTTAATTAAATGAATAGATTACTACCCGTATAATCTAGTTTGTTCCATTATTGTTTTGCAGACTCCAGATTTTTTGTGGGATAAGAAGTTTCCCTCTTTCTGTGGTATTTTACGGGCCGACATAAACCCTCCCACCCAACAAACTGCACTGAACATCAGGTACTGAACTCGAGCTCTACCTTATCCCAGCTACCCGGGCTGCACCAGCTGATGCAAAGGACAAGCACAGGGAACTCACAGACACATGCTAATTACTTTAATTACTTTAAACATTCCTCTAGTATGAATTCCTCTCTCACTCTGACAGTACAGACAAAAAAAAAAAAAAATTACATTTAATTTTGAATAATGTTTCTAGAGCAAATTCTTCTCATYTGCAGACTTCACAAAGACTGCTGGAGAAAAACATCTCAGTTTCATTATTCTCCAGTAAATTTAAGAATGGAGAAACTTGAGATTTCTTAAAGTGGACGTGGGAGAGACAGTGCACTTAAGCCACCTGGCTCTGTTCCCCCTGGAATTTCAAGCAAACAACAGATAGTTTCCCTACGCCATTTTTCGCCTACCCACTTCACCTGTATCAGAACTTAGACCTAGGTGACAGAATCTGGCTGCAACAACATGTAGGTGTATCTTTTTATACATAGAAAGGTGTCTCTCTTGCATTTGTGGAGGTCACATCAACCTTATTCCATCTTCTTTCCCTTTTACATCTAAGAAAATCAATGGCATTCACACAGACTTACATGTAGATGATGATTTCATACAAGCAACTTTTCACAAACTAATTACAGTGAAATGCATTTTAAGATGGGGAACTTCTTTCCACAAAATATTGTATGTAGAATAAAGGGATATTGCAGATATACCTGAATTATTTTGCAAATCTGTTTAGTTTCACCATTCAACAGCCATAACGACTGATTCTAAGCATTGAGCCTAATGTAACRATTGCCTATAGCCTAAATTCAGACATCTGAACAACAAATGTTGGAAGCTTTTGACTTGGAAGGTAATGTTATTTTAAGAGCTCAGGCACTATTCTTTTTAGTTGCACTGTGAATGACACCAACTTGCTGTAAAATGAATCAAATAACGGTAAAATGCATGTGGAACACAGGAAAAAAAAAAGCATGGGCTGGTAATTCATTTTACAAAACATAATTATCTTGCTGATACAAAGACACCATAGTTGTAAAGCTTCTTTTAAAGAACAAACAGTGAATRGCTTTTTTAAAGCTCGTGACTCCCTAACCTCAGCTTCTCTATTTGTTTCATCTTCAACAAGAACATCAGTTCCAAAAGCTGAGGCAGTTTGTGATTTTAGTCTTGAAAAGAGGCAGTGGCCCAGATTTACATCCGCCTTAGCAAAGCTTCGTGTCGGGCTGCTCATACAAAGCAGCCCTGACACCAGCGCTCTCAGCCACGCCGAGATCACCAAGAAAAGCCTGTCCAGGGAGATCCAGGGAAGCGGCTCCTACCCGCCCACTCTCTTGATCCCTCTCATTGCTGGCACAGAGAATGAGGCAGGCTCCTGATGCTTTAATTCTAACTTCTAACTTTTTAAAATCTAACTTTTTAAATTCTAACTTTTATAATTCTAACTTTTTAAACTGTAACTTTTTAAATTCTAACTTCTTGCAATCTGGCTTGAGCAGAGGGGCTGGACTAGATGATCTCTAGAGGTCCCTTCCAATCTCAACCATTCTGGGATTCTGATTCTTTAACGGCCTCAGCAAGTCATACCTTACCTTTAATTCAGGCAGCAGAGCCTTGTACAGCTGGAGGACTTTTTAGGAGTAGCAATACAAAAAAAAAAGGGAAGGAGCAGGTTGTTCCGTGTCCCTCAATACTGAGACAGAAAGGACCCACTGGCAGGCACTGCTACACCGGCCCCTTAGTGCCGCAGGAGCCTCAGCAGGGCCTGCTAAGGACAGCATGGCACGAAGAAAAGAAGCCCGGGGAAAGCGAAGAAAAGGAGCCCGGGGAAAGCATTTAGATGAGAGGCAAAATATGTAGAGGCAGGGGGTCATGAGAGGCGTAGATGGTGCCTGACTAAGAGGATAATACTGGAGTCAGCAGAAAAAAGTCATGGAAGAAAGAGTGAGGAGCTCAGATGTAAAAGAGAAGTATCAGTGTGGGATCTGGAGTGAAACCCGCTTCTTTCTTGCRTTGCGCTGCCCACTCAAGTGAAGGCTGCCAGGGAGAGGGGATGGGAAGCTCCTTTGCCACTTTTCCATATGGGCAAATGTTTCTCCAATGTTCAAGCAAAAGCTGTCATGTTAAGAGAGAAGGTAAAAGCAGCTTTCAGAAAGTTTGTTGTGAGGAACTGCTTTATGTGCTATTACCCAGAAAGAAACGAAGTGTTTTCCTCACCAAGCCAGGAGGTCAAATCCCTGGTATGTCAGCAAGGGAACCAAGGCATTAGAGTCACTTGGTGCCACAAAGGGAACGCAGAGCTAAACTATCACAGACAAACTGTGTAATTTAGCCCAKGTGGAGCATTACCACTCTTTCCATATTTTCCACATTTACATCAGTATATCCGGTTACCATTGGCAATCAGACATAAATATGGTGTATTTACAGTACTAACATTATCCATATCTGACTTTGATAACATAGTGAGAGAACTGGCAACTCAAAAAGGCAAACAAATCAATATTAAGCTATATTTAACAGAATACATCTATATTTTGCTGCTGAGTGATGTATAATCTGTATCTATGTGTTATCTATGCATAGAGGCTGCCTTTTCATGCAATTTAGTTTTTCTCGAAGGCAAAAATTTGCTCTTTTAGTCCATTTTTTAAGCCTCCAGGGATTAAACTTTCTGGAAGAGGAAACACAGCAAAGGCAAAAGAGAGGATAATTCCACAAGAAGCAGAAAAATGATTCCTACGTTATGATTGACTACGTTATCATACCTCTCTCTCCTCATATTTATTCGTCAAAAAATGAGCTGACCAAACAAATCAGAAAGGAAAGGAACCAAGAGGCATCCTTTTATTCATGTTTATGGGTAATTTGAGAGTTCTTTAATTGACAATAGGTGAGATGAAAGTGCATGAAATGCAGTACTAAAAATCTTCATAACCTCAGCTGAGATTTTAAAGTTACATTAGCAAAAAACAAGGAGAGAAAATTGCATGCTTTTTCAAAACATTAAAGCTTTGATATTTCCAGCTGAAACAAACCCTTTGGGTTCAAATTCCCTTTAATGTTACCTCTTTTAGGCTGKGAAAGGATAAGCTTAGGGACTAATCATGTTCCCTTAACTTCCCAGTTGCTAGTCAGATTATGGAAGTAGGCCAGATGAGGCAGCCAGTTTCACAGCACAGAGAGGACACGTCAGGCAGCGCCCGGGTCGTGCAGTGCAGGAGCACCAGGGTTTCTGGGGAGAGCAGCAGCAGAAGGGCCGTAGCAGAGATTAAGAACTGAGCTTTCCTGGA